CACACACACACAAAAAAAAAAAAAAAAAAAAAAAAAAAGTGCGGCCGTGTATATTTCCATGTTCTGGCTGAAGATTCATTCTGATTCTGCTCATCCCACTCACAAACACACAGACCGACATCGCCACGCTTCCTTCCGTGTATAGGCAGGACAGGGGCTCGGCTTCACCGCGCTGGGCCCTTCTTACTGAAGTGTAAGCCGGGTCTCTCTTAACGCCCCCGTGCCGCGGTGAAGCCGCCCCCCAGTCTTGGGAAAAAACGCTCAGGACAGGGGGGTCGGGCCCAAGGGACGTGTAGATTCGTCGGGTGGATCCGCATGTGAGCGCGCCAGGATTTTCCACGCTCAGGACAGGGGGGTCTGCATGTGAGCGGGGAAAATCCTGGCGCGTGTTCGAATACAAGAACATTGTGGAGAGGGACGTGTAGATTCGTCAGGTGTTCTTTTCAATAGTAGATTCGATTTTTTTATTTATTTTTTGTTTTTTTCCTGCCAGCGTGGCGAATCCCGGCGCGTGTCTGAATACAAGCACATCAGTGGAAGGACGTGCAGATTCGTTGGGTTGTTCTTTTTTTTTTTTTTTTTGGGTTGTTCTTTTCAGTAGATGCGTTGGTGTGGTTTCAGTAGATTTTTTTTGTTTGTTTTCTTCTTTTGGGGGGGGGAGATGACATAAAAAAAAAAAGAAAAAAAAAAAAGTCGATTTATATTGCCAAAACAGCTTTAAACAGAACTCGTTCTTTTTTAAGCTTTTCCATTTGGTGACGACCAGCGCGCGTCACCACATGCACAAAAGACAGAATGTGGCGTCACTACATGCACAAAAGACAGAAAAAAAAATATGGCGGTGTATCTTTCAATGTTCTAGCAGAAGATTCATTTTCATTTTGCCCCATTTGGTGAACGGTGGCGCGAGGCCTGATCTCACAGTTGTACTCTTTCGGGCCTCGGTCAACTACTCACGACGTGCAGAAAAGACAGAAAATATGGCCGCCGTGTATCTGCCCATGTTCTAGCAGAAGATTCATTCTAATTTTGCACATTTAGTGATGCCCCATTTGGTGAGTAGTGGCCGCTCTCACAGTTGTACTCTCAGGACCAAGTCCCACTAGCAGCGTTCAGTATCCTCAGCTCCTGAACCTGGACGTGTATGTGGAGATGTACGGTTGACGAACCTCAACGCCATTTCTGCACATCTGAACAAACACGACCAGATTCAAGCGTTGAGAACACTCAACGCCGCTAGTGGGACTTGGCCCTTAGAGCCTCAGTCCACTACTCACAGTCGTACCCGTAGGGGGGGCCTCGCTCCGCAACTCACGACGTGCACAAAAGCGAAAAAATATGACCGTGTATCTGCCCATGTTCTAGCAGAAGATTCATTCTCATTTTGCACATTTGGCGAGTAGTGGAGCGAGGCCTACAACATGGACAGACACATGCATGTGGTCGACTAGTGGAGCCAGGTCCATTGTCAGCGAACACGCCACCATCTGAAAAAAGCGGCGTGTTTGCTGCAGCCATGTCCGACTACCGTCTTCCCCGAACACAACGCACCCTCATTTTGGTTGTATCTGGCGGGAAATATAACTCGTATACATTCATTTGTAGGGTGCGTTATGTTCGGGGGAAGACGGTAGCGGGTGTTGCATCCGGACACAGATACTGCAATCAGGGCAAAGTACCTGGGGCCATGTCCCCACTGGCTTCTTCACCCGAATACAACGAGCGGTCATTTTTGCTGTATTTGGACGCAAAGATACCCCAAATGCACAGCTATAATGACCGCTCGTTGTATTCGGGTGAAAAAGGTAGAGCGGGGGTTTACTTCCTGTTTCGTGTATTTTTGAACACGGTCACACTTTGGCCGTGAGATTCTCAGAGGACGGCAGGAACACGTATACACTTGGAACCAGAACTAAACCCCAAATACAGACAAATGGGACCACAACGCCATCTCACTGCAATCACGGCAATTCCCGGACTGATGACCAGATCGGATGAATCTGACCGCCACCACGGCCTAAGTTAACTAGATGCAGTCCTTTCTTTTTTTTTTTTTTTTACAAAAAAACACAGATCCTTATATGTTGCAAAAAAAAGAGGAGGCGGGGAATCCCTCCACAAACAACCCGTCTAGATACAGTCCTGCTGTGAGCATGCCCTCAGAGTTGTGGGTTTCCTCCCCC